ACAAATATATATATACATATATATATCTAAAATATATATATATATATATATATTTATATAAATATAGATATGTATATATATATACATATATATATACAAATAGATCTATATATATATATTATATAATAGATATAAGTATATATTTATATATATATATATATATATATATATATGTGTGTGTGTGTATATACATATGTATATATATATATGTATATATATATATATATTCACATTGCATTGTATTATTGATAGATAGATAGATAGATAGACAGACAAATATATATATATACATTCACATTGCATTGTATGGTCGAGGACGTACTTTACATGTAAATTGTTATCATTGAACTTATTTATGGTTTAGTATAGCGTGATTGAAGCACATATGAGAGGCTGTACTAAGAGTTCACCCGCTTCGCATTGAATCGTACAGCCAAATAGACCTGACTATAAAGACACTGCGGCGTGCCAAGCCAACTATCAGCCAGTACTTATCGCCAAGGAATCCGTTGGCACCATATTGTTTCAACAGAACACACATTTAAGCCGATTACCACCTCACTCTCCATTGAGAAGCAATAAATAGGACTATGATACGGCCCTACTTATTGGTTCTCTAGGGCCTATAGCGGGCCAACACACAACCCTAATGGGTATGTAGCACATACCTGATCCAGATGCCGAACACTCCCATCTCCCCCACGCAATCTACCGAGACGGGCTCGGCGTTCCTGTTGAGTGGAGAGCTTGCGGTGTTACACAGATGATTTACATGCAATTGGTTTATGGTACACTGATTTCAAGACGCATCATTGAAGAGAGATTGCGGTGTTAGAATCCAGGATTATAATCAGCTAGTATATAAACGCAAAAGAATCATCACCAACCAGTTGACAAAAAGAAAACGAAACATAGAATGTGCTGTTACACTTAGAGGTGTAGCTAAGCTGTGCATCGAAACAGGTTTGCACGCAACTGGCGTATGATTATAGTGATTAGAATATGGATGAACAAGAAGAGATCTCCGTTCTGCAATGCACGACACCTACACGCTGATTTGTACATGCAATTCGATCATCCGTATACAGCAGGAAGGAAATAAAATAAAATATACTATAAGAGGTATAAGTAATGGATTGTAGGTAGACTATGCATATTCACCTCACAATAACATTGGGTTGTCTCGGTGGCTTGATGCGATCCATGAGAATGTAGCTCTGCAACTCCATTTCGGGCAGGGATCGGAGCATGCCGACCATCTCGTCAGCATAGTAGTTGTTGCCTAATGAGAGGAAACCATCGAGCACCCAACAAAACACAGGCAATATTAATATGAAAAACATTTAAATCTCTACATAACGGTGTATTTTGTGTTAAACTACATGGTAAATGAACCATATCTCCATATTGCTCGCCACTGATATGCATCTAGCTCAAGGTGCATTCGCAAAACAGCGTGTAAATGCATGTACATCTTGACTTTGCATCGTAACACATATACATACATATATATATATATATATATATGTGTGTGTGTGTAAGTGTGTGTGTGTGTTTGAGTGTGTG